GTTACCAACATCTGGTGAAAATTTCATGTCATTAGCACCTCTAGTAATATATTTACTGAGAAAAATGGTGACGTGTTCAATACTTATTTTATTACCCACTGTAAATATAATGACACACATATAAAGAGAACAAAAAGGAACAAAACACAATAACTATGCAGGGGGGTAGGTTTCTACATTCAGTACATTAAAAATAATCATAAATACATTCAATGAGCTACAACATTCATACATATTTATAGCTGTTTGTACTTTTAGAGACAGTGCATACATTTCTTTAATAAAACCTGGAAAACAAGGTGAACATTATGAAAATGTACATTTGTGAAAATGAAATTTGACAAATATTACATTAATTGCTTTTGGTTATATTAGCATTTCCATGAAAACTAAAAATTTTGAGTTCATATTTTAATGAAAATTTAGTGTCAATATTAAAAATGATAAAATTATTGCTTCCAAAATGTCTGTGATAAAACAATAATAAATGACTGTTTCTGGATGCTCTTTGCTAAATTTACAGTTGTTGTTTATTGTTTTAATATATTTCTTCATGAACTAATTAGTGGGATAAATTCTGTGTAACTGTTTAAAGGAGACATCTTTTATTTTGTTATTTATCAAAGGTTTCTGATGAAATGTCCACACATCTTTCCACTATGACTCAGGAACAGAAATAATGATGCTGAAATACTGATAATTGTGTTCCTGGTTGAGGGAAAGCAAGCTTTACCAACAGTGGTGTCAGTTACATTCAACAAGCATTTATCTTCATCAAAAACACTTTTTTCTAAAGAGTTCACATTTTGTTATTAGTAACAGCATCAAACACATCACTCTTTGGGTGTTACAGCAAGGTTAAACTTGAGTTTGAATTCATTATAATTGAGTAAACACCCATTTTTGTTAAACAGCTGAGCCACCAGAAATATTTTATCGTTGAAACATTCAGGATAAAACAGTGATTTGTTTCTGTAAAAGATAAATTTGTTTGGAAAGCTAACAGTAAAGAGTTTAAATAACAGATTGTTTAAACTCTTCCCTGTTGGCTGATTGCTGTCCTGCATCTTTCTGATCGGCAGGGGGCGCTGTTTGACCCAGAAATACTGAAATTCGCAAAGCCTTAAAACTGCAACTGGTCTTCTTTTAGTGCATTTCGAAACTCTCTGCCTGGGTGTGGACCTCTGCAAGAAAACTCACTGAGATCTGCTGAGATTGAAATCTGGATTCTGTAGATTAAATTTTAATCTGTGGAAATGAAGATACCGGTCGTGTTTTTGTTGCTGGCAGGACTGGAAGCTGTTGTGGTCGAGGATA